ACCCACTGCCATAGCAGAACCACTAAGCATAATCTTTGAAAAATCTTTCGGGACCAGCTCCTTGCCAAAACTATGGTCACAAGCCACGGTTATCCCCATCTTCAAAAAGGGAGACCCCAGCCTAGTTGAAAAATTACAGATCAATCTCTTTATGCTGCATCACCTGTAAAGTCATGGAATCAATTATTAACCAATCCATCATCCTCCACTTAGAAACAAACAACCTACTCTCTAATAAACAATTTGGTTTTAGGAAAAAACTATCATGTAATCTGCCACCCTTACACTGTAAAAACATATGGACTACACAACTCGATCAGGGTAAAGCAATAGATGCAATCTATATAGACTTCTGTAAAGTCTTTGATTCAGTGGTACATGACAAACTACTCCTAAAACTAAAATCTTATGGTATCTCTGGACACCTGCATAACTGGATAGTAGCATTCCTGTCAAACAGACAACAAATGGTCAAAATTGGGAGCGTCCTATCAAATTCTGTACCTGTCAACAGTGGTGTCCGCCAAGGCAGTGTCCTAGGACCAACTCTCTTCATACTCTGCATAAATGACCTCTGTGATCATATCAAGAGCAACTGAGTTCTCTTCGCTGATGATGTAAAGCTTTTCAACACCACAGACAATACTGCTACCCTTCAAAAAGACCTCAACTATGTATCAGAATGGTCAAACAAATGGCAACTTCAAATCTCAACAAATAAATGCTCTGTCCTACATATTGGCAAAAAAAATAAAAAATAAATCAGAAAATAAAATACAGGCTGAATGGTCAAGACCTTGTTGATTATCCAAACTCTGTCAAGAATCTTGGAGTACTTATCTCTAATGACCTAAGTGCTAGAGGTTGGAATCGAAGACCTCCAAGGTTCCTTTCAATTTATTATTCTGTCTTTGGGAGACATCAGAACCAGATTCATACTTTCTCTCAATAGTTGATATCCTATTCATCTAATTCAGTTTATGCCCAGATCCTGGTCATAGATGAAATACTCTGATTACAACACATGTAACTAGGTTTTGTGCAGCAGAACAGGATCCATCAAACCCTGATGGACCAGAATCCCATAATAAATTCCTTGTCATTATAATGTATCTATATTTTAGATATCACTTCATAGATATTAATAGTTTTAGATATTTTGCTGTAATTTTTGATACAATCATACTAATATAACTTTAGTGTTATATTATGATCTAATATGGACTCTATTCTGTATCTTACTCATTAGATGCCAGTTAGCTCATTCTAGAAATGTATTTTATTCCTGATTTAAATTTTATTTGCTTATTATGTTGTAATTTTATATATTATTTATTTAATATACTTTTAGTGTTTACTGTATGGTTTAACATAGATGTATCCTGGATCTTACTTATTAGAAGCTAATTAGGTCATTTTATAAATGTATTTTAACCTAGGCTTAAATTGTTGCTGATTTGTTCATTGCTTATACTGGTCTTTGACAGTAATAAACTGGAACTGGCAGAGGTGGTATTCAGCAGGTTCTGACTAGTTCTGGAGAACTGGTAGCAGAAATTTTGAGTAGTTTGGAGAACTGGCAAATACCACCTCTGACTGGCCCTGCCCCCATTTATTCTGTGCCTCCCGAGTCCCAGCTGATTGACTGGATCTTCTTTTGTTGCCCTGCACAGGAGAATGGAGCTGGGAAGCAGGTTAGTGGAGTGTGGTGGGAATGGAGATTTTACAGTATCCTTTCCCTGCCATGCCCACCAAGCCACACCACGCCACACCCACCAAGCCACTTTAGCCACAGAACCAGTAGTCAAAAAATTTGAATCCCACCACTGGAAACTGGGCAAAAGTAATACAAATGTCAATTTTCATAGAGGAATGATAAAATATAAATTATTTGAATAATAAGCTATATACAACTACTCAAAAAAAATAAAGGGAACACAAAAATAAGACATCCTAGATCTGAATGAATGAAATATTCTTATGAAATACTTTGTTCATTACATAGTTGAATGTGCTGACAACAAAATCACACAAAAATTATCAATGGAAATCAAATTTAGCAACCCATGGAGGTCTGGATTTGGAGTTACACTCAAAATTAAAGTGGAAAAAACACTACAGGCTGATCCAACTTTGATGTAATGTCCTTAAAACAAGTCAAAATGAGGCTCAGTAGTGTGTGTGGCCTCCACGTGCCTGTATGACCTCCCTACAACGCCTGGGCATGCTCCTGATGAGATGGCGGATGGTCTCCTGAGGGATCTCCTCTCACACCTGGACTAAAGCATCCCCCAACTCCTGGACAGTCTGTGGTGCAATGTGGCATTGGTGGATGGAGCGAGACATGATGTCCCAGATGTGCTCAATTGGATTCAGGTCTGGGGAACAGGCGGGCCAGTCCATAACATCAATTCCATTTGCACAACAGCATGTGAAATTGATTGTCAATCAGTGTTGCTACCTAAGTGGACAGTTTGATTTCACAGAAGTGTGATTGACTTGGAGTTACATTGTGTTGTTTAAATGTTCCCTTTATTTTTTTGAGCAGTGTACATTTAATGTAGCAGATACTGTTACTAGAAAATAAGTTAAGCCCAGATATATACTCATCCAAGTTTTCTTCAAATATTTGCCAAATTCAAACTAATTTATGCATCTGGATTAGTTAAGTATTTCATCCAGAAATGTTGCAGATTTTCCCATGATTGAACAAGTTACATTTAAGTACTTTAAGCCAAAAGTAGCTTAATTTATTTTTTGGAAAATTGAGGGTAAGTATCATTGGAGTTAAAAGAAAAAAAACAAGCAAGCCCCCAAACAATAACCATATGAAAAACAACCATGGAGTAATGTTAGTGGTTGCTATCTGCAATAATCTAATGCTGACAGAGAGTTGTATTTTATTTAGTAATTAACAGTGTAAAGGGGAGAGAAGCTGTCATGTCGGTTCTTAAGCTGGGGAATGTGATGAAAGATGATATCTCCGATCTCATCCTTTCCACTTGTTTAGGATTGTCAGGATGAGAAATGTCAGCATTATGAAAGCTCAGCTCTGCTCTTGATATGATAAAACCCTTCAAAAGGCAGCCAATCCTCCCCCCCCCACCTCCCTTTCTCTCTCCCTGCACTCGCTTCTTTTTTTATTTATCCTGTTTTGTTAGATGGCAGAAATATAATTCTTTTCTTTTTTTCTATTATAAGCCACCATTTTTGTTTTATTATGTTTCACAACCCCTAATGTCCCACTGAAAATTACCTTGTTAAATGACAGTGTTTCAAAGCCATGAATCCTTCCCTACCACCCCATTTCCTCTGAGATTTGAAACAGTCAACAGACTGTAAAGAATAAATAATAAAAAAGTATTGATTATTTTGATGACTGTGAGATTCAATTAAGTATTAATTTTGCCCTCCAGTGGACCTATCAACGTATTCAAAAGGGAGGATTCGGCTTGAACTAAATGTACAAGTGCTTTAGCTTTAAATAGGGAGAAAATACCTATTTAAATACCTACAGTATTTGAAGAAGAGTGCATCGATGCACAGAGTCCAATACTTAAGGCTGTGCAAATTAAACCCTAGTGACAGTGACATTGTATTTGGCAATATGAGTATTGACCAAAGAAGTGCATTTGATGACATCTTAAACTATTTGTATTGATTAACATTTTCATAGATTATCATGTGTCATATCAAATTCACTTTTCAAACATGAATACATTAAAAACCCTTTAGGCAATCACTGACCAATGTACAAATGGGCAGATGAAACATGCTAACCAACCTACTTGCACCTTGGTCACCTGTTCTGTGTATAAGAACCATTTAGGCATGAATTTAACAATAAATAGTTGGGAAATTGCATGAAAAGGTTACTTGCCCACTCAGGTTGATTTAATGGCAAAACCAATGATAGATGTTAAGAAACTTAAAACTGTTCCTCCCCTCTCCTCAGTCTTCTGAGAAGATTCAATATATTCTGATAATCAAGAAATATTTAAAACTACATACATATATTGCTATATTCTGTGTGTGTGTGTGTGTGTGTGTGTGTGTGTGTGTGTGTGTGTGTGT